AGTTAGCAACTAAAAAATATGTTAATCCGTTAGAATTTATTGTAGATAAGATAAGTGGCACTTGAATATTATCTTTATCCTCACATAATACTGTTACAAAGTATAAAACAGCTGTTATAGAAACTATTATTGCGTCTATAAATAAACAAAATCCAGCGTTGGCTAATGTTCTAGATGTTGGTCTTAAAAAGTTAACCGTTAACATTAAAACCCATAATAGCAAAGTACCAAATATAAATCTCTGTAGAATTTCATATTTGGTCACATTTTTATTCAATAACGATTGTCTGATATGAACACCAAATAAGTACATTGAGACGTAACCTAAACAAGAGGAAATTCCTTCACGGTTTGCTGATATTAATGAGTCTCTTGGACTATCACTGAACACCCATTCTTGAACACCGTTGTATAAAATATATTCGTGAAATATAAGCAATATAATACTGAGTAGTAAGGCTTGATTAGATAAATATAAAACAAATAATGTCAATATTTTACAAACAGCTATAGTAAAAAAGAAATTCCAATGTACACCATATTCTGTTACATGTTCGTGGTAATCTAACTGTTTTACGGACACAAATCTTACAACACCAAGCAATAATAAAACACTAATAAATTTAATGTTGCTTTTTAAAATACTAATGATGCTATTATTGCGTAGATCTTTGTGTACCATACCACTTATGACAACAAAGGCCCCAACACCTGAGTCCATTAAACTGTAACCATGTCTTTCAGTCTTTGCTAAATACCTAGGAAAGTCACGGAAGTCGACAGCAAGTATACATAACACAGTAACCAAGTATGTAAGACCTCTAATAGAAGATATTATAGGTAACCTATCACTTTTGAATATATTTTGAACTTGGAACTTCTTTATTGCATTATTATAGTTTAATAAACATTTGTGTAGCAATATAACAAAACTTATACAATTCAAAATTGCTATATAATCTGCTAAAATCGTGTAAGCTAAGATTACAGGTAGTACTATGATAACGTATTCTCGAATATATTGGCTGTATGTTGGAAGTGCATTTTGGATCGATATATAAATAGAGCTTTGGACTGTAAATAAAATACAAAGGAATGTATAGAATGCCGTAGTTCCATTGTTATCCTGCATAAAGGCTTCATGATATTTCTTGTATTCTGTCGAGTTCATCGTAGGTTTGCATTAGCTGTGTTGAACTGAGTCTTGATATTTCTAGCCATAAATTATATGAAATATAGTTTTGACGTTGACTAGGGAAATTATGATTCCACACAAACAACTGTCACATTATTATCAGATAAATAATACGGGTAAACAGCACAACTAACTTTATAAGCAAAAGTTAACATCAAAACTTCAAAACATCAAGTTTATAAAAAATATCAAAATAAACATGAACATCGGTGTTGCTATCTCTCAATAAGGTAGTTGACGGTATTGAAAATAAAAAAACAATGTCCGCTTCATTTAAACAAATATCGCAAAACATCTCGTCAAATATAATTATTTGAGCTTTTATAGCTATTAAGAATTTAAATCAAATAAACATTGAAATATATTCTTTAATTAAGTAGTCTAAAATAGTGACGCCATAACGTAACATACGCACATTTTTAGTACAAAATTGTCGTTTTGACAGATAATAAAAAGTAACTAATTTGACTCAAGCTGTCAACAATGCATAACTACAATATTACTAAACTCTATTCTCTGTCTACGCTGTACAATGAGTCTAAATATTATAATAGAAAGACAAAACGTTTCGTTTACGTACACGTGCTTATCCTGCATCTAACCCATAAAAAATTTAGTCTAATGATATAATCATAATTTTTTTTTTATATGATAGAGCGGGCAGACGAGTTTGCAATTTTGTTCGCACTAATTGCATACTATCTAACCCGATTATAGTGAAATTTTGCATAATTATAGGTTGCGAGTGATACAGAGAATATGAACATACATTTTGATGCTAATAATCCGTATATTATTATATTTATATTATTTATAACTTCAAAATGCAATGAAATAAAGACAATTCTAATGGCATATCGTCCATTAAAATCGGTTTAGAAGTTACGAGGTAGCTATTAAACATAAAGATTGAAACATAAACCTCCTTTTTAGGATTCCGTACCCAAAAGGTAAAACGGGACCCTATTACTAAGACTCCGCTGTCCGTCCGTCCGTCTGTCTGTCTGTCCGTCTGTCACCAGGCTGTATCTCATGCACCGTGATAATTAGACAGTTCAAATTTTCACAGATGATGTATTTCTGAACACTAAAAACAGAATAAAATAAATATTTAAGTGGGGCTCCTATACAACTGACATGATTGTTGCCGTTTTTATACATAATGGTACGGAATTTGCACTTTATTGCCCTTGACTTTTGCGCTATTTCTTACTGACTGATTGATTGATTGACTGATCCTACGTCAACACTAACCCATGCCGACTGAACTCTGAAGATTTTGAAAATTGCTGTTTTTTAACCCTTTCCGTTATGTAGCTAAATCAATTGAATTATTTAAATTTTATTAAATATTAATTAAAAGAAGATAAACTTATAAATCAGGCAGGATATTTTGTTTGTACAGTCTGGATACAGATTTCTATGCTCCTGTATACACAGCGTACCAAAAAATGCTTTTGCTCTTCCTTTGCAGTGATCAAATCATGAAAATCTTGCATAAGCTTTACAGCTCTTTCAGCTGTATCATTAACTGCCTTTAAAGACTGATTACTTATCTTGGACAACATCTTCATCCCATGTAGAAACGGGTCTCTGGAGGAAATTCTTCTTCAGATGGAATGTATCTCTACCCAGAATCATACGAATCTCTCTTTGTAGTAGTAGTAGTAGTGTGATATCACGGCTACTTGTGACTTGGTGGATTTTTATTTCTAACACACATTTTAAAACCAGTTCCTAAACGTAATGATGGCCAGCAAAGAGTAGTGATTCCCTGTCTAGTTTTTGTTCCAAAAGTACACAAGCTCGTTTCAATCGCCTTGTATTAGACTCAGTTGTGTTACAGAACATAATTTATACTTTGGCATCGAGGTTCCAGTCATAAAGTGCGTTCAACACAGCTTTCGCTTGATCCTGGCCGGAAGAGCTCTCCAGTCTGGGTATATTCAGAAGTTGTTCATTTTCTCCAAATGAAATTAGTATTGGCAGGCGTTCTTCTTTAGAACTTCTCACGTCAAGTCCAGGTAATAACTTCCCGTCCCAGTAAACAGTCACCATTTCAGGCATCTTATTGTGAAAATCTGATTTTATAGATTCCGCTCTATCTTTCCGACACTGTGTGCTAATACGTTCAATGCGATTTCGATATCGGAAAATCATCACAGCTAAGATCTAGTGCTTCTACTACAGCCTGAAGTATATAGACAGAATCTCTTATGGTTAAATGACATCTATCTAAAGCTGCAACTAACTTAGGCGTGTGAAAGTCTTTCCTCCCTCTTTTTTGTAGTAGTTTCTTACTATTTGAGAGGTGGATGGCAAGGGATCCTCGAGGCTTTCATCAGAGTTGGGAAGTTGATCGTGAAGTCCTTTCGTTTGTATAGAATCTTGCGTAGTAAGAAATGACGATAAACCACCGAAACACATTTGCTCATTTATTTTTATATTCTTCAATTTTCATCCGTTCCAAAGCATCAGCGTATGCTATATCAAATAAATTGTTTTTAAAGTCCTCCTCACGGCGCTTGTAAATATCTTGTATTTTTTTTTTTTTTTTCAACTCACTCCAAGCATAGTGCGGATCCATAAGTTTTTTTACAGTTAGGTATAGCTCAAGTAGGGATTCTAGCTTTTTCCCAAAATATAATACACTCCCGAACTATGAGATTAGCGATTCACTAACAGTCAATGTAACTTCACGAATGTTAAAAATAGTACTGCAAGAGCTTAACGATTAGACGGTAACTTTGCGCCTGTTATTTAATAATTTACGTCAACTAAGAAAATACTTTTTTTATTGCTTCTTTATTCTATTATTCTACTGCCATCTTTTAAATGTAAAACAATACGTGTTAATCGCGAGAATAATTGAGAACAAATGATAAATACCGCGAATACGCACCGCTACACTGCCGCGCAACATGTTACATACGAACACGATTCGATTCAAGTCGGCACGGGTTATTGTACTTGGAATACGGTAGGTAAAAATTTATTTCCGAGTGTTTTAGAGGCAAATGAACATAACTAAGAGCTATGCGTTAGAAATATAAACGTATATGTGCATATATTAATTAATATAAATTAAATAAATAAAAACAGTTCTTAATATTTTTTAACGGATTAAGCAAATAAAAATAATTTTATTTCAAAATATATTTGTAATCGTTTACGATTTTGAAGACCGTCAGTTACAGCCCGAGAAATCTCGTTATTTTCTATTAATGGAGTAAAATAAGTAGAAGGAGTAATATTTATTGTTAAGAGTAGCATATCATTGATTCCACGACTAAATGCAAAGATCGCACGCTAATGCAAACTGTAATTACGATGCAACCAGTCCAGGAGAATAATTGGCCAAATCTTATTATTGAGAATCAAATCTGACCGACTCATAGACCGCGTCGCAATGTCATAAAAAATAACATAAGGGTATACAACCTTTTCTGGGTTATAAAATTAAAAAAGACGTCCTATACATGTAGCTTGTTAATGAATTTTGCACTCGCCTCATAAAAGTTAACTAAACTCTTTGTGACTTGGATGTTTTTAAAACCTTTTTTTAACGTAATGAAAAATGAATGACAAAATGTCAAAGCAGTTTTTCCCTAAAGTTCAATAATGTAAATCAATAAGGTATTTTTTGTAATATTAAATATAAAGTGCTACAGGTTAAAATAAGGGTATTTCGAGTGATTATAGAATTGGATGCATAGAGTTTCAAAAATAATTAAATTATTTGGACTACATAATGAGCGAAAATCGTGCTTTAATAGAAATGCAATTTTACTATTTTTATTAATAGGAATAGGTTGCCTGTATGTTATATTATTTGGTTTCTTAAATTTCCTTATCATAAAGCTTGTTCTTATCTTTATCTATTGTTTCAACCGTTATTATAACTTGTTGCACTTTATATATTGGATACTGTTTATACTAAATAATAAATACAAAGCTGTTCGTTGGGCATCCAACAAGCAAAAGGTAAGTGTTATCGTAATAGTGATATAGCCATTAAGGGCCACGGCCCTAATAAAAGGCTGAAAAGCCTTGTATCCAACGGCGGTAAGGCATTTTTGGCTAAATGCTACTGTACTGTACTGTATTGCAAACGTAGCGGCTTGCTGAGCTATTTACACCAGCCCCGGATCTAGAGGGAGGGAGGGAGGGGGGGGGGCAGTTTCATGGGGCGCCCAAATCATAATATCAAAATAAAATAAAAATATATTGTTACCTCCCAATCACGAAAAATGCCAACCATCATAATATATTTCAGATTTTTTTAAATTATTTACCTCAAACGTTGGAGAGAGGGGGCGCTATTATAAGGTTTCTGCCCCTGTTAGTTATACTATATTAAAGTTATACTGATTCAGGCTAGAGCCTAGTCGAGGTTGATGTCGTTCATAAGATCTCACTTACACTATTTGGCAAAATTATTTAAAATAATTTTTAAAAGGACTCCCGCACTAGAAATGTATCTTGTGTCACGAGGGACTTTACAAATATTCATGAAATTGACACAAGGAACACCAAGACTGAGATCAAATGTGTGTAATACACAAATTGTTGTCCTATGTGGGGATCGAACCCACACCACTCACCACAGTAGAAAGCGGCGAGATGACACGCCATCCATGCACTCTAATAAACGTTTAATTTATAATGCCCGGGCCATTATTTAGTAGTCAATATTGCGATGATGTAGGAATGTTACGATGCAAAGATGTGTTGAAATTTTCTTTAATCTAAGTGTTCTTATGTTTTTCAGTACACATCATTTGACTTTGGAACGGCTAATACAATAAAAGGATATAAAATGGAGACATATTTCAAACTATTTTCGTAACTTCGTAATTAATGTAAAATCATTACTATTATTCGAAGTAACAGAAATATGCTGAGAGTTCGATACCGTAAGTTCATAATTACTAGTTAAATTAAAAGTCTAATTAATAATTTCTGAAAGAGTGGAAAGAAAATAACATTGTTTAATACGAAATATAATTAAGCGACACATTATGTAATAGGCCTAAGGGCAGTGTCATTGCTAAAATAATTGAATAACAGTAAACTGGCACATTTTATCCGTTACGTGAAGTTCTATCGTTTTTGGAAATTTCTAATAAAGACCCTATTAGATTTTCTACTATTATATAATATTTTCTACGAAAAATACTATTAAATACTACATCCTGATTTTATTCGATTATAACGTAAATTTCTACGATTTCCCTCTAATGTATCTAATTCCTTGATTTTATTGCAGTGATTACATCAAATCATAAACAAATAGTATTAAAACCAAGTTACCCATTAGATCAGTATTGCAAATTTACAGATTCTATTGCCGAACTCTATACGGCGTATAAGTGTTACAATATACATTCAAATTTGTTGAAAGTCTTCAGTGTTACCAGCATTTTACTACTCAAGCTAAATGCCGCACTTTTGGGTATTAATGATATAAAAGCCATTGGCATAGATAACGAGAAATAAACAAATTACAGCTATAAAATGGCTGAACAGATACTCATGAATTAAAGTTAAAATAAGAAGAGGAAGAGTTAATTTAAGAAGAAAAATGCCGATGGAACCTAAAACCGTCTTGCAGTATACTCAACTTAGAAATTAAAACCTAAATAGTGTTCGAAAATAGGGTAAGTCGATTGTTCTGATTCTTTACTGGTCTAATTAGACAAAACTTGCTTCTTTCGAATGAGGAAAAGCTCATTTTACACCATTACAATAGCTAGTAAATGGTATGGCATCAATTCCATTGAAATTCTAAACTTGGCTACTGCTCCTCAATTTTACTTCTTCAGTTTATTCTATATTTATAGTTTTTGTTTTTATAATAAAGTTAAAGTGAATTTTCTTATGATATAGAGGACAAATGAGTAGACGAGTCACCTGATGGCAAGTGATTACCACCGCCCATGAATGCTTGCGACTCAACAGGAGTCTTACCGGTAAAAGTTAGTGGTATACCAACGGTAGAGGCGGCCCATGTGATAAGCACCGCTCTTTAATATTTTCTCGTTTCCCTCCAGTCATGCCATCTTAGTGTCCAATAATCGAAATATTATAAGAAAATGAGTTCTTCGTCTTTACTTTGTGCGCAATGCCATTCCCAACTTCCACCTCGCTTAAAAGCTGCAAAGCCTTCATGTAAAAATGTCAAGATCCTCATGAAGACAGTTGAAAGAGGAACCTCACCAATGAAATTAATTGCACCATGTGGGGGATATGAGGACTTGCCATTCAACGCCGGATCTGGATGTCCATCTCCACAACCAAGCGTATGTTTCAAAATTAATTTGTCTGTGTTGCCATTTGTCAGTTATTTAAAGAAAGAAAATTTACCATTAGTAGTAATATTACTTAGACTATGGAGTGTAGAGGCAAGGAGAACCATCTCATTTGGGGGGAAAGTAGTATACTGAAAATAGGGGTCGCTGGCGTACGAAAAACTACGAGATGAACATAGCTGTTGCATACAGAGTAAAGTGTGCTAAGTTAAAAAAAAAAAAATTGTTTTTTTTTTTATATCTACCACATTCTCAATCTGGTCCTAAACTAAGCAGAGCTTGTACTATGGGTGCTAGACAACTGATAGAAATACACATATACGTTTTTTTTGTAAATACATACCATTTTATACATAGAAACACCCATTATAATACTTTTACTGTCTGAAAGTTATTACACGTTTATTTATTGCCTGTGAAACTCATTGACCATTTTCGCAGTCTAGTACACACTGTCTAATCATTATTTAAGCCAATATAAATTTATCGTAGGCTATCGCAGCGCCACCCTTATAGGACGCGTTTTTACGGACACTTTTCATACACAAAGACGGTTCTCCTTGCCACTACCCTCCATACCTAGGACCTAGACTCTAGACAATCTAGGTTGTAGGTTTTATCCGTTACATATATTTCCGTTTTTTTAAGTTGAACTGACTTCAAACACTCTATACAAAGGAAACTAAAAATAATTACAAACCTAATTGAAAAGACACATAAGTGTCACTTCAATATATTGGGTACCTAATAACATTTTAATAGCAATAGAATACTACTCTGTTTGAAGTCGGTGCCAAGCCCAATGCACAGTAATACTGAGGGTCTTTATTCAGCAATTAATTATGAACTGACTAAATCATTGTTACAATAGATTTTTGAGAAAAACAATGATACATTTCAAAGAAACAGCGTTATATTTTTTGCCGATGTCTCAATATTGGGGTTACGTATACTACTCAAACTGTATGATTGTACTACACCACTGAAGAGTTTAAATACTGTATCTGTATGATATTTGTATGTATGTATTGACTAAGGGAGTAAACTACGCAGGACAACAGCACTGCAAAGAAAAGGAAAACTTGTGACAAACCCTTTTTTTTTTTTTTTTTTTTTAACGTGTGGAAATCCCCTCGGACCGTCACCCCTCCGGGGTTTGCGGCGGGGTGGTGTGTCGGACTCGGACCGACTAAAACCACACGGTGTGCCACTCTGCGCCTGTAACAGGAGGGATCCGGGAACAGCTGTTGTTAAGACATCCGGACCCCTCCTAGCGCCAGCCCGCTCCTGGTGCGGGCTCCGTCTCAATGTAGATGTTCCTCTCTTTAGGCGACGTCCGGCACACGCGGACGCCGCCCCCTCGCGGCTGGCCAACTAATGCGGGTGGAGGGGAAACCCACCCCGTCCACCCGCGGCCACACTCAGGGCGGCATGAGGCTGTGGTAGGCGGGCCTCCGCCGCCCGGTTCGCCGGCGGCGGATCGGGCGACAAACCCTATACCAACTCGTCTGGCCAGCGTGGTATCTTAGGCCAAAACCTGCTTTCTAAGCAGAGGCCTATGTCCTTATTTATGTGATGATAATCTATATGATTATGTTTTTCTCAGGTACAGGAACATTCTTACTGTCCATATCATAACAGGGGACAAGTGAGTACCATGATGGGTTCTAGTTTTTGCTGTACTCCGACAACTAAGTGTAATGAGTGTAAGTGCCATGAAACATGCGTAACTCATGGCTCGAGTTGTCCATATGGTTCAGATAATCCATTCAGATCTAGAAGTGAGTATTATCCAGCTTTGTATCAAAACTGAGTAAGCTTCATGACGTGCTTGTTGGTCTAGTGGTCACTGATCCTGTCTGCTAACCTAGAGATCGTGGGTGTGATGAGCTGATCATTGTATTTTGTCTATAATATTCATGTATTTAGAAATATTTATGTAGGTACGTTAATCAGCAGTCTGATTACCGTTCTGCCTTGTTTGGGATCTGACTCCGTGTGAGAAATGTGTAAAATATATAATATACATAGCATCCCTTAATGTACTTACCTTAATGAAAGACGAAAATCTTATTGAACTAACTAACGCTCTAAAACAAATCAAATGGGACATCCTTGGCCTGAGCGAGGTGAGAAGAATGGGCGAAAGAATCACTTCTCACCCAGACTACCTACTGTACCAGATAGGAGATACATAAGGCCATCACGGGGTAGGATTTATTATCAAGGAACATATAACGAAGTATATTGAAGAATTCATCGGAATCTCAGAGCGCATAGCAATTATGAATGTGAAACTACCGGGATACAAGGACCCTTGGTCTATTGTACAGGTTTACTCACCCACAGATCAATCAAACTTAGAAACAATAAATACTTTTTACCAAGACTTAAATGATGCCATACAAGAATACACCCACAAAAACCTTATAGTAATGGGAGACTTCAACGGCCAAATTGGAGCAAGACGCCCAGGTGAAAATACAATATTAGGTCCATTTTCATATAGCAACAAGTCTAGGAGCAGGAATGGGGAGAAAATTACAAACTTTGCTCTAGAAAATAACTTATCAATCCTAAATACCATGTACAAAAAAAAACAGGTATAAGATGTGGACTTGGATCTCCCCCGATGGCAAGACAAAAAATGAAATCGATTTTATTATGACAAATAGAAGTAGCTATTTCACCAACTTTACCGTCATTAAAAGATTCAATTTTAACACCAACCATAGGCTAATCAGAGCTGAACTCAAAATAAAGCAACCAATAAAGCCGAGACCAAGACAAAACGTAGGAAATACAAAACTCAGCAAGCAGCAGCTAGAACAAATAACAATCGCTCTAAGATTCAAATTTACAGACTTTGAGGAAAAAACTACCAATTTAGCAATCCAAGAAAAATACAATTACATAGAAAATATTATTAAAACTCAGACAAAACTCGTAATGAACACCAAAACTGAAACAACAAATATGCTATCAACAAACACTATAAAACTACTACAAGACAGAAACCACCTTTTTAGCGCAAAAACCGCTCAAAATAGAAGAAAGGAAATTGTCAAAATTAGCAAAGATATCAAAAAAAGCATTAGGAAAGATAGGAAACAGCGGAGGATGGAAACGATAGAAAATTACATACTTCAAACAGGTGGAATCAAAAAAGCGCTCAAGGAATTGACAAACACAAAGGACTGGATTGTAAGAATGAAAAATGAAAGAGGAAAATGGAACCGCAACAGAACAGACCTATTAGAAACAGCTTCATCATACTACAAAAAACTGTACAGCAACGACACTACGCAAAGCAAATTAGTACTGGTAGATCCCTCGAATATTCCTAATATCCTGCACTCTGAAGTCAGGCAAGCTATTGACACCCAACAAGAAATGAAAGCACCCGGACCCGATGGCATAAACAATGAAATTCTAAGACACAGCAAGGGCACCCTAATACCTGTTCTCGCAGATATGTACAATGACATCATAAATACTGAAACTATTCCCCAACAATGGACAGAGTCTAAAATCATCCTACTGTATAAGAAAGGTGACAAACATGATATAGGAAACTATCGCCCTATCAGCCTTATGTCTAACGTATACAAGATTATCGCTAAGATTATCTTAAAACGAATCGAAATAACGTTAGACGAACACCAACCGATGGAGCAAGCAGGATTCCGCAAAGATTATTCGGTACTCGACCACATCCACGTAGTGCGACAAGTTCTAGAGAAATACAACGAATACCAGCTAACATACTACATCGCGTTTATCGATTACAGCAAAGCGTTTGATTCTCTACTGCACGGAAAAATATGGGAGGCTCTACTAGAACAAGGAATCGAACACAAATACATCCGACTTATAAAAAACATCTACAGTCGCAGCACAGGAAGAATCCAACTAGAAAGGAAAAGCGCTCCTTTCAGAATTGAAAAAGGCGTTAGACAGGGGGATCCCCTATCTCCTAAACTTTTCTCCGCAGTACTGGAATCAATTTTCAGAAGACTTAATTGGAAACGTCTCGGTATTAACGTAAATGGTGTATTGCTGTCACACTTGAGGTTCGCTGACGATATAGTGCTATTTGCCAAAACACCAGAAGACTTAAATAAAATGCTAGGTGAACTTGCGACAGAAAGTGCGAAAGTGGGACTGGCATTGAATCCGGATAAGACTAGAGTGATGACAAACGGAAACAATCACACTATTAAATTAGGGAACACCGAAATAGACTACACTGACGAGTACATCTATCTAGGTCAGCTTATAACGCAAAAAGAACCCATGCGTAAGGAAGTGGAGAGAAGAATTACGAATGGCTGGAAGAGATACTGGAGCCTGAGGGAGGCTATGAAAAACAAAAAACTCCATATAAACTTAAAAAGTAAACTGTTTAACACCTGCGTACTACCTGTTCTGACGTACGGATGTCAATCATGGGTGCTAAATCATGAAACATTATACAAACTAGCAACTTGTCAGTACGCAATGGAAAGGAGTATGCTAAATATCAGAAAGTCTGACAGACTGAAAAACTTTGTCATCAGAAGCAAAACAAAAACTACAGATGTTACAACGAAAATCAAAAGACTGAAATGGAGATGGGCTGGCCACGTGATAAGAGGATGCGACAAATGGAGTCAAAGGGTGACCCAGTGGTATCCCAGAGAAGGCAAGAGGAAGAGAGGTAGGCCGCAAAAAAGATGGGACGATGACATTAGGCAAGTGGCTGGAGTCATGTGGAACAGGGTGACACAGGAAAGGAAAGAATGGAAAAGGCTGGAGGAGGCCTTTGCCGATTGGCAAACAGATCTAGGAATGATAACCAAGCAACAGATATTAGCTTAAATAGTTTATTTAGTTTAAGAGTCCAGTGTTATTATAAGTTTAAACCCATTGTAACTAGTTAAGAGATCTGAATAAAAGGCTATATTATTATTATTATATATTATATTATTATTACGTTAATCAGCAGTCTGATTACCGTTCTGCCTTGTTTGGGATCTGACTCCGTGTGAGAAATGTGTAAAGGTATTATTATCATTCAGAAAAAATAATGTAAGAGGTCAAGGTCCAAACTATTATTTTAGATGAAAAACTTTCGAATGATGGATGGAAGTTTCTTACTTAATCAAGTCAGAACGGAATTGGATGCAGTTTGGTACATCATCACCACATAGTCCACTGCTGGACATAGGCCTCTCCTTAGAAAGGAGGTTAATTATAGTCTGGAATATTATATAGCTTATTATTAGTTTAGAACTAGATAAATTAATAAGTTGAGATCGGTGTGTACATAAGTATACTCGTATTTATTTTGTAAGTACCTAGACCCTTTTTTTTTTCAATTTTATTTAAAGTGTATGTTGTATTGAGTTGGTTTTTTACTGTCCAGGTTCGGCAAGAGTTGATCCTGATCCTCTTAAGTAACGCGATTGCTAGTTTTCTGCCTTTTCTACATTCATCACCAATGCCATCATATTTGGCCATGTCACAAGTTTCAGAAGAAATTTTATCGTTAATGTGGTAAGGTTTTTTTTATAGTATAAATCGCATATGAGCAGACTGGTCTCCTGATCGTCAGTAACAACCGCCTCTAATGGACGCTGCAGCTAAAGTGATATAAGTTCGACTGCACGGATGACGTAGTGGCGGACGGCGTAGTGCCACGCCGCTTCCTACTACGCCGAGTGTTGTGAATTCAAACCCCACATGGGACGACACTTTGTGTGATCCACAAATTGTTGTACTGAGTCTGTGTGTTCTTTGTGTCCGTTTCATGTATGTCTGTAAAGTCCCCCGCGACACAGGTTATATTCCTAATGCGGGTCTAGTTTAGCCTAGCCTAGTCTTTTTAAAAAAAAAAAGAAAGTTGAGACCCTTTGAGTGCCTTACCGTACTCTCTTAACCTCACTCCCTGAAAAGTAGCTAAAGATTTTTTTCTGTGAGGCTGTGGTATCACTCCGGACTCCTCCCATGGGTACGAGTATATTAAAAATAAAATCCAAATAATATTTCAATAATTTTATTATACTTATTTAGTTTACAAAAAGACTAGCTTACAACTAATTTGTGACTTATTGTAGAGAAATATAAATAAGTTTAATTAATATGATAAATTTTAATTTAATCAAGTTGTGATGGTACAATTTAATCAAAAGTTGATTAAATGAAATCATTAATATAGCACCTCGCGACTGAACACCATATTTTTCACATTTCAGTGGCTTTTAACCTGAAATATTGATCTTAAAATGTGCATTAATGAAGGAAATGAAACGTCAGATATCATGAATTGTATGAAAATGAATGATGTTGATGGCCGTTACAATAGTTCAGCCAAGAACCACTGAAGTTTAAAAATGGTTATGTCAGAGTAGACTTAAATATACAAGTACACTACAGTCTGTTGGCAGAAGACTTAGTAGTCAAATTCGTAGGGACGCTGAGGGCGTCTTTGGACGAGGGGAATGTTGACTTCTTCTGCTGATCTGAATACCTGTGGCCTTGCGCTCGGCCTCGCCTGGAGCTGGGCTGGGGCGGGCTGACGACGAGGTGCCTCTTCCTGCAAACGTGAGAACAAATTTAAGAGAAAAATAAATTATGTAACTGTGTAACAGCTGGTTTCTTTGTCGTGTAAAAATTAGTTCCTACAAACTTTTCTCTAAGGTAGTATTTTTGTTAACAGTATATAAAGGGAATGCGTAGTGGTAGGGAATGCTATAGGCACTAGGCTTACCGATGCATAAACTTGTGCATGAATTTAAAAAAAAAAATCAGACGGTTACTTGTGAATAATAAAAATTATCAGGAGACATTTGACTGAACTATTTTTTTTTCGGGTGGTGACGGACTAAGAATACAGTGTCATCCCTATTCATCCCGTGGGTGTCGTAAGAGCCGACTAAGGGAGTAAACTACGGAGGACAACATCACTGCAAGGAGAGGGAAAACTTGAAACAAACCCTATACCGACTCGTCTGGCCAGTGTGGTATAGTAAGCCAAAACCTCCTTTCTAAGGAGATGCCTATGTCCAGCAGTGGACTACTAAAGGCTTATGATGATGATTATTATTTTTTCTAAATGATAGACAATCTTTTGATGAGCTACTTTTGTCGTCAAAAAATTAAGTATTATGACGTTGCGTACACAAATCAAATGGTCTTACCAGACTTACCTAATTCACTTACCAGTTATAAACGAGTAACTTCGTTTATAACTGGTAAGTGATTATACTGGCATTATTGTGGTTGGTTTGTGAGATATTTAGCTTACGAGTGGAATCTTCGTTGGATTACCCTCCCATCACCTACTCTGACCTTGAACTCGGTACAAGTACCACTGGCATAAGATTCAGCTTTTTTTAATATGATTATGGTTTATATTTCATTCACATTTAAAAAAGTATTCGCGCATTTGGCTGCTCTCGAGTCTTACCGAATTGTGAATTTTGGGGGTCGGGTCTAGCACCCGACACCCAATATTTATGTGTTCAGATGGAAATGGTCACCGGCCGCTGTAAATCGTAACAGACACACACACACGCATATATCACTTTAAATAACCTTCACTTACCTCTTCTTGCTCTTCCTGTTCATATCTGTCGTCCGTGTAGACCTCAGCAGGGTAGTACCTGTCTGAGTACTTGAGGGACACGTTGGGTTTCCTCTGTACTTCTTCTTCGTTAATAGGTCTGTACAGGTAGTCGTTGACGAAGTGGTACTTTGAAGACTTTTGGCAAATGCTCTCGTGGGTAGGTGGCATACAGATTAAGTGGACCTGATGAAAATAATGGAAGTTTTATGGTAAAGATCCTTTGTCATTATGATATTTGAGCGATTCTGACCAATGACAGAATAAAGTACAGCTAGTTAGTTACGTTGAAGGTAAGGAGATTATTTGTTAAAATTAAGTTATATGGGATAACAATATAACTACCTAAATAAAAAATATTTGAACAAAGTGATTTTTCTGGCTCCGAGATTAATATTTTTACGCGACAAAAAATACACTTCGTACCTACGTGCGCCTTATAGTATTGCACGCAATACGTATGGAAAAATGTAAATTGGGTGAAAGGTAAGAAACTATGGCAAATTGGAAAATTTAAACAAATATAATGATTACCTATCTATAGATAATAGATTACCAGAAGAAATCTATTTTCCAATAATTGATTTGTTTTGAAGATTGGTGATGCCGTTTTTATTGATAAAAAGAATGACAGAATCTCAAAGATTATCGTAACATCAAAAGTTATTCACGTTGACGATTTATACTAAATTTATCTTCTGTCGTCTTTCATGACACTAACGTTTCATAAAAAGACCTAGTACATGGTAATTGTTATGAAAAGTGTCTATGATTAGAAAAATGTGGAGTTATCTACTGTTTGGATTATTAAGAAAAAATAGCCAGTATATTTTTTTCTGGAAAACTTCAGTACTGCGTCCAACAACCGAGTTCAATACGATACTAAGAATTTGGAAACCAGAAAAACTTCTAAGACAATAGTTGTAATACACGGTTACCTGGTGGAAAGCGAAGCCTTCAGGACAGATCCAGGAGTGCTTTGCATTGTCTTGGCAGTAATGGAAGACTTCGCAGTTAAGCTCCTCATCAGCATAGTATCCGGTCTGTTTGTTGACACAGTTGAATTTGGATTGCTGTAGAAGCGCAGAGAGACGGTCTGGTTCCTCCTTCTCTTCTTCTTCTTCCAACTCCTCCTCTACCGCTTGGATTGGTCTCTGTTGGAGTCTTGATTGTTGTTGTTGTTGTTGTTGCTGCAAAATATGCATGCATAATTTTAAACATTTGATATATGCATAGCTGTTTAAGTGAACTGTAGACACTTTAACGTCAGGACACAATCCCACGTTAACAGAGCTGTAATCTTCTCTTGTGAGGTTCTTCCAGGTAAGTGAATAAAATCTTGCAAATAATTTAATTATGAGGTTTCCTAAAGAATCGACTCTTCGAAAAAACGAGAGACTAAGTAGGGCCTATATCTATGTCTATAAACGGCTTATTTCCAGATTTTAGTTTGACATATAGTGATATCAACTTAATATGTCTCTTATTAAGTCTTATGTTATAAGTGTGTAACTTCGTTTATCTCACTCTCGTACATGCAGTGGGAGTGATTGTGGGAACATGAAACGAAGTAGTAAAATATAAGGTGAAGTGTCAGAATCGCGAGCTATTTGATTTGACGAATGAGCGGTCGGTGTTTGATTTGGCCGTGAGATGTTGGTGCTTATCATCATGAAAACCGTAAGGTTCGTTTTTTTTTTTGTAGTATTATTCACCACACTTACCTTTCTATGAGGTGCTCTCTGGACTTGAGGGCGGGGTTCTTCTATATAGATCGGTTGCGTGGGCCTCGGTTGTACAGCGTACTCTTCCTGTTCCTGCTGCTGCCTTTGTTGGTAGCCAGCCAACTCGGCTAGTGAGGGCGTAGGTCTGAAGCCACTTGGGAGTTGGTTATTGTAGGCTGTTGGTGTGTATGCTCGTGGCCTTAGATTTCTTGATTCCTGAAACACATTCAGTAAGGTTTACCCGTTAAATGGAAATATTCTAAGTCTGAGAAACATACTTCTAGATTGCAGTATTTGTATCACTTTACTCCGTAGTCCGTGTGGTGACACACAACCACACTTTCGAAAACAAGACACATAATCCAACACCGTCGTATAGTGATTGACGATTGGCTGAAGAGTTCCTATAGTCACTTTTAGTTTTACTCATTCAATCTATGATACCTTTTATAGTTTTGCCACTTAAAGTACCAATAATAATGCCAATTTTAACCGACAAAATAGCCGTTGTGGAATATGAATACCTATAGGTTTACCAGTATAGTAAACCGTCCGTCCGGTCCGTGTGGTGACGGATTAAGAATACAGTGTCACCACCCCTATTCATCCCGTGGGTGTCGTAAGAGCCGACTAAGGGAAAACAACTACGCAGAACAACAGCATTGCAGAGAGAAGGAAAACTTGACACAAACCCTATACCAACCCGTCTGGCCAGCGTGGTATAGTAGGCCAAAACCTCCTTTCTAAGGAGAGGCTTATGTCCAGCAGTGGATTGTTAAAGGCTGTTGATAAATATAGTAAATCGTTATTTTTATTGCTATGTTACAAATAATGTTTTATGAACAATAGCAATGAAAAACTTAGGTTTTACGTAGAAGCAGCACTCTTTCAATATTTCTTAATTGAACTCTACAATGGATTGTGAAAAAAACGCTTGACTACTCGTAATAGTACAAGATTGGAATAATAAGTACTACTGATTTCATTGAACCTATTCCTCAGTACTTAATTTTATTAGAGTTGGAATATTTTCTTCAAAAATCTTTCTTCCTACCTTCCTCCGAGCCTTTCTTTTCAAACTAGTTTGGGGTCGGCTTGAAGTCTACCACAATACGGCTGAACTTCGATTTTCACGCGGAGCACTTGCCATCAGACCTCCATAACCCAAGTCCAAGACTTGGGTTATGGAGCTCCAACTACCCGTAACGATTGTCACAGATGTTCGCATGGCCACCGGGACCGACGTTTTAACGTGCTTCTCGAGGCACAGAGGGTCTCGATGTTTTAAGAATGGTCACCCATCCATACACCTACCTGGCTAAGATTGCTTAACTTTGCAACATGTTAACCTACACGGTTACCACTTAGCATCGAGCCCCTCTTTCCTTCTTTTCTTCAAGAAGTATACCCTACCATAATAAAAAAAGAATTTACCTAATCGATTTGTTAATGACGGAGTTCTGTTCTAAGGAAACAAGCTTCAAAAAAAAAAACAAAACCTCATCCTATTCTTGAAGTCGAGTAAAAAGGTCGTTTTAAGCAGGTTAGTTTTTTTTAAAGGTCTACTAGCAACCGAAATTACTAGTATTTCCGTTAACCCCTCCCACTAAGCTAAATTGCTTGTGTTAGGAGTGGGTTCACGTCGGTAGTGTACTGGTCAGGATTTGAACCCACGACCTCTTGATCGCAAGTCCAATGCCTTGACCACTAGTCTACCGCCGCTCGTTGTAAGCTCTAGTTGTAAGCTCAGTTACAATATAGAAAGTACAGCAACGATTACATCACGTTTTTAATAACTGATAATATATTAAGTAACTTCTTTATAAGTACTTTGTTGTATTATAAGCATTGCTGTAACGGTATAACGGAGTTTTCCAGTTCCTTTCAAGTGTTGTAAGAGATAATTGTTACATATAAAAACTGAAAATAAGAAAAAATACAACGAAGAAAGAGAACCCAACTTTAATAATAATAATAACTTTATTGAACTTCAATTCCTTTGTTACAATTATACAATCCAATAAACATATTATAACCGTATGAGATGTACAAAGTAGACCCTGCCCACCAAACTAGGTATTCCTGTAACTTGGAAGACAGTGTTCCGCTAATGGCTCGTTCACGGTATTTCATTATAGGTATTTTACATTTATGTTGAAATTTTTAAGGTTTGAAGTTAAAGTAGTGGGACGTACACGCATGAAGTGTTTCGTGTGTATTTGCGTATGTGTGTGTGTGTGTGTGTGTGTGTGTGTGTGTGTGTGTGTGTGACTGTGAATTAATGTGTAATTAGAAGGTTGTGGATCTGTGTTGTGGAAAATAATGTATCGTATATATTTTTTTATATTCCATGATATAGCAATGCTACTTTACACTCAGAATAGTTTTTTTGGCACTGGACGTCGTCGTTAAAATTAAATTAGTGGACTGCCCGGATGGTGTAGTGGTTCAAGCGGTCACTTCGCCACTTCCTACTGTGCTTAGTGTTCGATCCTCACATGGTACAACACTTTGTGTGATCTACAAACTGTTGTTCTAAATCTGAATGTTCTTTATGAATATTTGTAGTCTCCCGCGACACAGGATATATTCTTAGTGCGGGTGTTGTCTTTTAAAAATGGGAAATAAATATATAATTAATCGTCACATTTCCTCGGACTGGATTGACATATCCATGGCCCCTTCCTGCTACAACAATCTTAGTTTCAGTTCCCTTTCAAGACTAAAGATATCACTTACTCTAGTAAGTCTTAGTTGCTCATTTGCCCTCTCCATTTTCCTTACTGCTTAGCGGCAGAATGGATGAAATACTCCATCCATTCTGCCGCGTTGTGTAATATAACTATTACAGATAAAGGGGAAAAGACTTGGAGGCCGTCCTTGCCATTTTTTTCAAACTTAGGACTGTTATTAATACGTGGTGATCTAACCGAGATCCGATCAAACGGTTGCCAAGGTTTTTTTTATGTTAGAGGGGCAGACGGGTCACCTACTGGAAAGTGACCATCGCCGCCCATGAACGTCTGCAACTCAGGAGTCATAAAAGCGTTACCGGCCTTTTTAGGAAGGAGTACGCTCTTAAAGTTAAGAACTTTCAGTCGCATGTGGTCCTCACTTCTTCCTTTCCTCTTTGGTCTTTATTTTATTAGTAGAAAGAGAAAGGCAACATTCTTATGTAGACATTATCTGCTAATTAGATCGTATAACGTTATATCCGGACAAATAAGTTGTACACAGTATGCAGCCCGTTATGTCTTGGGTTGCTTAAAAAGTGTGAGTAATATTACATAAATTTCACATCATTACCTGTCACAGATAATTTGTATTATAATTGGTTCCAATTGTTGACGCGTGCAAACGTTATTGCTGTATTAAAAAAAAAAACTAAAACGGCGCGCAATCGTGCGAGACGACGGCAATGTGTTGATACTTCTTGCTATTTGAATTATATCATTGTTACTGTTACATATCGACATCCGGGAGCTTTTACCGCCTAATGAGGAACTCATGGTTTCAATCTCATGTTTTCCTATACATATATATATATATTATAGAAATAGATACTGCAATTCTGGCATATAGGACACACAATTTTAAAGATTCTGCGATCCTGGTAAATACACACTTTTAAATTTTAAACTACAACAATAAAGTCAATGTGTAATGCTGGATCAAATAATAATAAAACTAGCTTGACCGCGTATCAATGGCGTCTCCATATTAACGTTTCTTTGCAACGTTTTTATTTTTTTACTTTGAAATTATTGGAATGTTTTAGACTACAAATCATGTGCTTAAAATGTGTTTATCACATATTTACCCAATACTAACTGTTCATAAAATGGTAATTTCAATACCTACGTTCTAATAAATGTTCCCAATTCAATATAAGTTTACTAGAAGGTGTGATTTAAAATTAGAACACAAAACCTTTTTTTGCTCATCTAAGTATACAGAAAATAAACAAATTGTACTTTATGCCGAATAGAAGAAATTGCAACTCAATTGAAAACAAAAGAGTTTTAACTGCGAAATTTATATGTCGTATAGTATAGTAGCGTATTTCTCACACAGTGTTATGTAAAACAGAATGTGTGAATCGTGTTGATGAGCCCGTGCGTTGCTTGCCCGTTAAATTGTCACAATTAAATAACAAATTTAAATTGTGAAGAAGCTTATAAGTAGGATCGTATCAATATACCTATTATGTTCGAAAGAATTTCTGATTGCGTCTTACTGTTTCTATTTTATAGTAATGATATTTGAGCAATAAAGCTTTATCGATTATGACAATCTATAGTAACTTTTACACAGTCCAGACAGTAAAACAACTTTCATCATGAAAAAAACTAACTTGAAACCTAAATAATATCAACTTTCCCGCCGAAAATAACGACAACTGGTCAACAAGTGTTGCTGTTGTGCAAAAAAATACAAAAAGGATAAAAAAAACTTATGAGTTACTTTCGACTTTCACTGTCAGCGGCCTTGCCGACCGGACATTGACTCGAAATAGTGTAGACAAATTGCACCGCCGATCGGAGTGTAATACAGTTGTAACACCTCAGTTTAGTCACGTACAATGTCTAGTAACTTCTATAGAAAATCGACAATAATTAGATTGTTTGAATAAGGTAAAAAAAAGTTATAAATGAAGATATCAGCGTCCTCTGTGTTCAGTTTTTGTCGATGTCCAGGAATCACAGGACGAATACGATACACGACGTCCTGTCTCTCAGAATTAAGACCGAGCTACTCTTAATTCCGTTTTCCTATCTCACTTACTCCCTCGCTCTCCGTTTGTTCTATTTTTGTCTCGTCTTACATAACATTCCACAAGGAGACATCAAGCAAGTTGCCTTGTTTTAAAACAAACCCAAATTCTTTAAATAGCCCTGAATAGGGGAATAGATAGTTATCGCGGTAAAAAGTAGGCCATAATACTCGCTGATATTTTTGTAGCTTGCCATATATATAAGTATGGAAGTATTTAAGTATGGAAGTAAGGATGTATTACCTATTATGGGTCGGTCGAACGGTATAACGATCGAACTATTCTCAGTTCTAACCGCAAAAGTTTGTGATCAACTGATCATTGAACAGTATGAGTCAGCGTTAATACCTCACATTGAGGTTTAGCCAACCGACATTCTAGCCGCGTTCCTATCAATTCATAAATTAAATTAATTGGTTTTCATTGCAAAACATGCACTTTATTTCCGGATCAACTAATTCAGTCTTAAGCAGTGTCGATGGTTATTTGAATGAATTAAGTAAACATTTAAGTCCATTATGAGAACCTGCACGGAATAAAATGGAAAGGATTTGTACGCAGACATTGAGAAAGTTGCTTTACATCGTATTAAACATGGAACTGTTTTTATTGAATTAGCATTTATAATATTTTTGTGAAATTACAATACCTAATATGTTCGAAAGTTTGGTTATCATTTTAAAAAAGAAGTTTATAAATACCATAAAGTCTAAAGGTACATTTATTGAAAGTAGGTTTTGCCAGCGCCAACGTTCGTTATTTGAAAATTGGGAAAATTGACATTAACAATTTTGGCAACCCTATTTTTCAAATCAACACCAACGTGTTCGAATAAGGTTTTGTGGTGGTAATATGCATTCATTCACATGCAATAACATAGGGCAAGGTCAATTTAATGATCACGTGACTAAACCACAGTAAAAAAGGACGTGATGTAACCAGCATGATTATGGCTCGCCTTATAGACGAGACTATAAACATAAAGTAATATCTTAGACATACCTCTTCATTTAAAGCTAATTCATCACTATCGTCCACACCAGCGTCAGGGAAGCTGTCTTCATTTTCCGTAGGCTTCGCGAAGGCAATGCTGACCAACAGCAATGTTAATAGATATCGCCACCTAGAACAAAGAGAATAAGAATTGTAAAATCCAATATAAAGTATTACGTTGTATAGAAAAATCGAAATAGCTCTTCAACATTTCCACTGAAGATGAAAGCGGTCTAGAATATCGACGTTCATAAAATAATATATGTATAATAGCGGTATAACACACTGGTTTGCTTAAAATTGCTTGATCTTAACTAGTAAGTGTCAACGTGAAAACTTTCTTTTTTTTACGATTTTTTTAATTTTCTTATCCTTTTATATATCTAACACAATGTATGTAATTAATTCGTCTTGCCATATTTACGTATTATGGTGTATGTGGTACAATATTATAATATTATATTATATTTTAATAATGTGGAACAGATGTTATTTCTATATAAGTACATAGGCCGAATATACTTAACATAAGTAAATAAGTAGACCGAATGACAAAAGAGATCCTGTTGTCAATTAACTATATATAAATAATACGACTATTTTACACATTTCAGTTGAATCGATTAACCTGACGGAAGAGTGAATTAAATTCAATTTCTCTTTCAACATTATACGCATACGCTGTGTGAATTGTGAACCACGTGCGAACAAGATGGCGATTACGACAGTTACGTAATGGCGGTAAATTTCAAAAATGGTACTGTAGGGCAGTGTTGCATAATACAATTGATGGTCTGTGCTAATTTAAAACCATGACAACAAAGCTGTTTGCATGTCTCGAATAATAAACAGTATCCGAAACGATACTGCTATATTCGGGGTTTTCAACACGGAAAGTAGTAAATCTACTCGAGGGTCGCAATTCTCAGGCGCTGTCGAAGCCGCATGTGTTGCCCCCCCCCCATCTATCGCGCGATGGACTCGGCCCCGGCATGGTGAAGCCATGGAACGATAAGAAATAGGTCTCTAATAGCATTTTTCTAGATATCGATGAAGGTTTTTATCTATACGCTCTTGTTACTGTATAAAATTTGTACTTAATTTGTCTAATAAGGATATATTTTTTAAGGCATAAGGGTAAGGGTAAACCAAAAAGACGAATTGACTGAGGGACTAGTGTAAGTTTATTTCACTTCTACTCGCTCTTGACAGCGAGCGCGTTCGGCTTTGCAACTGGTGAAGATTTCAGCGCGGGCCAATCACACAATAAAATAAATTTGGTAGTAAGTGGTCTGGTGGTAAGTGACTGTCGCCGCTCGTAGGCACCTGTAACTCAAAAGAAACAAGTACATTGTCTCCTTTGAGCGCTACCAGAATGAGGGGGAGCTGGATGAGTGTTGGGCCTCCTGTTACCTCACTCACTAGGGGAAATGCATTGAAAGAATTGTTTGATACGAGTTTTCCGTGAGGCTGTGGTGTTACACCGGTCGAGGCAGCTTACATCACATCACATCCCATCACTCATCAACAGCCTTTAATAGTTCACTACTGCTGGACATGGGTCTCTCCTTGGAAAGGAGGTTTTGGCCTACTACACCATACACTAGCCAGACGGTTTGTTATAGGGTTTGTGTCAAATTTTCCTTCTCTTTGCAGTGCTGGCTGTCTTGCGTTAGCTCCCTTAGTCGGCACTTACGACACCCACGGGATGAATAGGGGTGGTGACACTCGGTATTCTTAATCCGTCACCACACGGTGGGCGAGCCAGCTCATATGTGCGCAGCTCATATGTATCACACAGATAATGTAGAAAGGTTAAACTTATTGCTAATTGCAATTACTTCCAGGTAAATTTATTTAGTTACTAAAGTTTTTATTGTTATTTAAACATCTTTATGCACTTATGTCATGTATGGCACTTATGTCGGCGGACCAACCTTTGGGTGGTATAGAAAGCACCGAAGTTCCACTTCCAGTGTAGTCAATGGTTATAAATTGTTATTGAAAAAAAAGTCCTAAAGAGTAATATGTCCGCAAAATCAGAAGGCCGCGCCGACCAGTTTGCTGAATTGAGCAAAGTGGATACATGCACATGATATATCTGTGCTGAACATATAACGATGGCTGGTTTTGTAATTGGCAGGTGTGGTGCCTTGCTATTTACACATAATCACTTATGTATGAAATAAATAACTTGTTACTGTAATGTGTAATATTTTATTGCCATTATTAAATGGCCTAATTAATGTCATTTATTATGAAATTCTATAGATATTAAACGGATATATCAAGTTTGCAGCATTTTATAATAATTATTCAAATATAAGTAATTTAATTGTAGATTATTGAGCCATAATAAATTAATATTTGTTTGTGTTATAAGACTGTAGATACACTTTTAGAGGACTTTAAGATTGCTATTGAAAACGGTTGAAAATGTACTGTTGCTTAAATTTTATAAAAAAAGTGTTGAATTTTCTATACATTCGAGTGCTGGCCAGTATACTTAATTGTTTTCTTAACAAGTTTTAGTTATCCGTAATATATATATATATATATAATATATATAAATATATATAAATATATATTCCACGTATATAGTCACTCATCACGATATCTCTGGAACCATTAGAGCTAAAGACTTGAAATTTGGTAGGAATATTCTTTTCACCAAGTAGAGGTCAGCTAAGAACGGATTTTAAGAAAAAATTTTTATTATTAAATAATGTAAATAGCAAAACAACGTTTGCAGGGTCAGATAGTTATGTATATATGTGTTTATTATTATCGCCGATGATGGTTCCATCGACCCGACCAAGTTTTGTGGAATCTTCATTACCCATCAGTTTTTCTTGCTGGAAGTATTTTCTTATGGGTCGCGTTACGTACCTGCATAGCTTTAGTTTTGGTTTTAAGCCCGTCTGGTGACTGTAGACTGGGCTATGTTAAGCCTTGTATGTCGTTATGTGACTTTTTTGGCCTTTCAATTTGGTCGCATTTCTGTTTTTCTGGAGTCTTGTTTATTATTTTTTTGTACCTTATTAACATATATTTTTCCTACCACATTCACACAACGCCATCTAGTCCCAAACTAATCAGAGCTTGTACTATGGTTACTAGACAACTGATATAAATACATATTTACTTTTCATTGTAAATACATACATAAATACTCATATTATACATAGAAACAACCAGACTCAATCAAACATTACATGTGCATGCACACAAATGTCTGACTTAAGCGGGAATCGAATCCGTGACCTTTAAAATTTACATTACACAAACCACTACGTCATCCGGTCGTTAATTTGAAATTACACTGTAACAAGATTAATATGGTTTACTCATTAAATATATGGCTTGAGTTTATGGAGGACCGAGTGCTATAGCGCTCATTGAGAGAGGCTAATGTTTATTGACATATTGAATTAATCATCATCATCCATCATCATCATCATCATCCACAGCCTTTACTAGTCCACTGCTGAATTAATAGTTTGTTTTTATAAAATCTTTGAATGTAATTGCAAAATGCAAACGCATTTTTCTGCGCAGTATTAAAATAAAATAAGTATATAGGTAGTATTTTATTTTAAACGTTGATCATAAGGAAACAATACCTAACTAAAAAGCTTTTTGTAAATGGTCTGAGTGAACCTTTATATTTTACAAAAGGAGGTTGACCTTTTGCTAACGACACATATAAAAGCACCTTTTTGTCTTAGGTAGAGGTCTTAGGTAGTTATTTTTTGTTAACAGTACACTAAACCATTATTATTCTTCCATGAATAATTAATAAAATATCTGTTTTAACTTGTACACTTCTTCTACGTATTAACATTAACTATTTTAAATACGATATGATTCTATGCGCCATCTTTGTTTGAAAAGGGATTCCATATTTTTTTTGCGTATTAATATATACTTAGATAACTAGATACTTATTTTTCACTTCTTTATTTAAATCGTATTAATGTAAATGGAGCTGCTCTATTAATTCTACATTTATCTATGCTACAGTAATATCTATAATTATGTTGTTATATAATTGTCTCTGTTGCGTTGTCTTTGGTTTGGTTCTCACTTGACTTGTTTTGATAATGTTGTGTTATTATTTATCAACTTTGGTAATCATATTTTGTAAGTAAATAATTTTAAATGCGTTTCTCTTTAAATATTATATTCCATAACATAATGGATATTTAGTGTTTACACAGTCAATATTTTTTAGTTGGATGAATTTGTTGTGGTACAAAACTTGACATTATAAATGATGATTAGTGTAAAAGAGAACTTAAATAAAATTCTAATAAAATTATAAAGTTTTATTTGTGAAATTCAATAAAAGTGCTGAGTGAAGAAATAATACACGAAAACCCGTTAACAGTTTCTAACTCGGCTTTTCATGTCCGTACATTTTTACAAATACACGGTAACTAGAAACATAGACACAGATATTATAGATTAGACACCGATACATAGACAGAGACGCCTACACATTTTTAACTTTTTAAACACTCGAGCGCTTAAAAATATGTCTGTTACTACTACGCCGAGTGCCGTGGGTTCAAACCCCACATGGGACGACACTTTGTGTGACCCACAACTTGTTGTTCTGAGTCTGGGTGTTCTGCGTCCGTTTCATGTATGTTTGTAAAGTCTCCCGCGACACAGGATATATTCCTAATGCGGGCGTTGTCTTTTTTAGGAAATATACTATTTGTCTTCTCGCTTATATGAGCGACATGATGTCGAGACAATATTGTCTTGTTTTGCTACAGGCTTAGTCTTTTACGCGGTATGTTTTTGTACATATAATTGGTTTTCTCACACACAATTATCGCCCTTGTTAGCAAAGTTGTTCATTTTCACCTATTAATTTTATTAAATGCCTAATTGCTGGGAAACCGTTCACCAGTATGTTTCAATTGTTCTTTCTTTGAGCTTTCTCCATCTAATGTCATTCGAAAGTGTCCAAATCGCGACAGTGATGGTTTTTTTATTGCATACTCTGCACGAAGGCGTCTAATTTCAGCCCATTCAGATTTTATTATTATTTTTTATTTGACTGTTTCTTCAGTTAATAAATCTACGTTTCAATCTAATAGTTAAGTGTCTAGTGGTTTTCGATCTGACTACTGAGTCATGGGTCGTAGGTTCCATGTCGGTCCAGAACATAATATTACTGTTATGAGCATAGTTATTTTTTCTATGTCTGATTAGAGATATACATAAGTAAGAATAAGAATAAATTTATTACAAAAAGGTATGTGATACAATTAGTTTTACAGCCGCCACAGCGCTAAGCTCGAGGCTTGAATCGCATCGCCCAAAGAGAGATTTATCATTCAGTTTCACCCTTCACTTTCGGCTCAATAATTACAATAATAATAATCTTTATTGTTATAAATAACCTTTAACAGTTTTCTTATACATATATATATATATATATATATATATATACACATAAACGTACAAGCATTTTAACAATTAAAGGTCACATCAATAGAGTAACCCTAACTCCCAAACTAGATGTTCCTGTGACTTGGGAGTTAGTGTTCTGCTGTTATAGAGACAGATTGTAGGCTTAGAGGTTAGAAATATAATGCGATGTATGTGTGTGTGTGTGTGTGTGTGTGTGTGTGTGTGTGTGTATGTATGTGTGTATGTACAATAGAGACTATATTATTATATTTTGTGTAGGAGGTCTGGTTACAATAATACCTACAGTCTCTGTCTGGTTTGGGATCAAATAACTATGTGTGAGATGAGTAAAGTTATTGTTCTGTCAGTATTATAGATTATAGAAATATATAAACCGTTACGTTACGTTACGATGTTTAAGATAAGTAGTTTTATTACCTACTGTTAGATGGCTACACCAATCGCCTCGGCAATGGTGCTAATGGTTGTTCGAAAACTCTCTAAACTAAACTAAAAATCACAATCAAAATCAATGTAAACTACGACGACCGGATTGAGTAGTGGTTTGTGTAACGGACTGTTATTCCAAAAGTTGCGAGTTCGATTCCTTCTCAAGTCAAACATTTATGTGAATGAACATTCAATGTTTGATTTGGTCTGGGTGTTTCTATGTATAATATGTATGTATTTACAAAAAAAGTATATTTGTATTTATATCATAGTACAAGCTCTGCTTAGTTTGGGACTAGACTAGGCGTTGTGTGAATGTAAGAAAAAAAAATCAATTTTCTCAAAGTTGGTTATAAAAAAACACCCGGTAATGGTCTGTAAAAAAAACCCGCTTCGTAAAACGTCCAACAATTTTTTTTACCCACATCGTGGTAACATACCAAATGCTTTCTCCATCGTATCCACTCATTCGTGAAATGAAAAGTTGCGTAGAACTTCTCTTGTCAACCGCAAGTTCCAATAGGTGGACTGATAATGCCTGTTTATTAGCCCGTGACGGCATTCGGCTACTACACTCAATGTTCGGCAGCCTAATGCAATAAAATGTGACTACACAGCTTATTATCTATACTAATATTATAAAGCTGAAGAGTTTGTTTGTTTGTTTGTTTGTTTGAACGCGCTAATCTCAGGAACTACTGGTCCGATTTGAAAAATTCTTTCAGTGTTAGATAGCCCATTTATCGAGGAAGGCTATAGGCTATATATCATCACGCTAAGACCAATAGGAACGGAGCACCAATGATGAATGTTTCAAAAACGGAGAAAATTTATTACTATTGAGAGACGCAGACGAAGTTGCGCGGGTCAGCTAGTTTATAATAAATTGACAGCTTTATTCAACGATCCTTGACGACCTGGTGACAAGTGCATTTTATTGTAGCTGTTTCCAGCACGTTACGTTACGTTACGCGTTACGAATTTTAAAAGTTTAATTGCATAATTGGTTGTTACATCATAAATGATAATCTAATATTATTACACTACCAAACTTGATTTATCTGGCTTGTATTATAGTTTCTAGAAAATAGGTAACTTACTTGAGTACATTTCTTTTAAATACATTTATATTCTAATATGGAAATACTTAAACAAAAACAATATTTGCACAAAGTACTGCATGTATCCCGACATTATGGTTGAATGTTCTAACGCGGCACAGAAGAAATCTTCATAACACAATTCTAGCATTTCTAACGTAATTCTATTATCATGTTGTGATGTATGTTTCGATTTTATACAGCATCATAAAGGAGGAGGTTCTCAATACGTCCGAATCTTTTTTTTATGTACCTATGTTTACTGAGTACTCGAAGACGCCTTAACCGATTTGGAAAATTATTTTCTGTTTCAAAGTGTGGTCTTCCCAGGTGATCTTTTTTAAGTTTTATGACAATCGGTTAAACGGTTTTGTGCAAAATCAACAAAAATAAAAAAAAATATACATCAATTATATTTGCGTTTACCTACTCCGAAACCTCGCTGTCTCTGGAACAGTGCGTTTAGCTGGCGTACCCATATTCTTTTTTTAAATTTTATTGTGATACACAGATTATTTATTAAAGCACAATAAGTTATGAAAAATATAATTATCATATCTTTTAATAATAAAAATTTAGTAGGTATATGAATTCTAAAATTATAAATGCGGTATTAAATGAATTTAATTGCAGTATATTATATTTATGTGCTACAAATACATACTTGCGACGTTCTTCCTCTCAAGGGGTTTTCAGTGCCTATAAGTTACAATTTTATTTGTTTGAATTTTTATTCCATTCCGAAAAACACATCTGGGACTGAACACTCATTAATATCCGGGTGATTCTTTAAACGTATATAGGGTTACTAAAAATGGTGGTCAGATGCCAAAACTTTAAGTAAAAATACCTAATTGATATCAAATTTTTTTTTTTTTTTTTTTTTTTTTTTTTTTTTTTTTTTTTTTTTTTTTTTTT